CACTTAAGATAGGGAAGATATGCCTCACAGAGTTGTGAGGGTCATGTGACAGCACATGAACTAGCAGAAGGAACGTGCCACGTATCACTCCATGCCGATGATGCGTTCCGTGAAATTGGACGGACGTGATGAGATTTGGATGTTAGGTGAACACTCTCCCTCAGTCTGGCTCTGCTTTTTCTTGATGCATCTCAAACAAGCTTCAGCAGTGACCACCAGCACGCTGAGCTTGCGTTCAGGCCTCGATCCCCATCAGTAGGCGTTTCTCCACTTTTGATGCTGGCCCTCTTGTAGTTTCACAAGCCTGGTCGTTTCCAGTAAAGCCTATCCTTGAACAGTTTGGAAATGTGTTGTCTTTTGAGGGTCCTCAAGAATCGTCAAGTGTGACCTACCTAAATGGTGAGCCTTGGCATTCACTAAGTTTTCCACCTTCATGTTGTTGAAGGTGCTTTTGGTTTATTCCTAAATGGATACTGCTCCTTTGTCTCTCGCTGCTGCTGTCGCCAGCACTGGGTTTGCTGGGTGTGGGGGCCATGACGGACTTCATGGTAATGTTCTTGTAGAGACATTTAAATGGAGAGATACTGGCTCAATCCTTAAGAGACTCATGATGCGCATAATTGGATGCTGCTGCTCAGGAGTTGAAAACAACATTCTTATGTGATAAAACTTTGGATAGAAAGTACCATACAGTACCTTAGATTTTTATGATGACTATTAAGACATCCATCTCACTGGTTCTGTATGGACGGAACCATCATCTGCAAGGTAGCATAATCATATTGTCTACAAGAGCTGTGCACATTGCATGTGGGAAGTTGGTGCATTCACTGCATCCTACTGTCTGATCTGCATTTTGGAATTCTGTTATAACCTTATGGGTCCATGGGCGTATAAGCCGCCAGACGTTGTACAAACGGACGTTTTCCAAATGGATATTACATGGCACAGCATCGGCAGAGGCCCGGGTTGGTGCAAATGGTTTATGCTCTCAACTTCTAGGGGAGAGGTTGGGTGTGCTAATCCACTCAGTGGCCCCTCAGAAGAAAGGCCTGTGGGTCTCCTGCTGACAACCAGCCATTGGAAACCAGTTCTGCTCTGGCATGTGGGGCTTCCAGGTGTTGGAATCAGCACAGCGATAACTGGTTTTCCGTGTTCTGATTCCTGGCATGTTTTCAATGCATGACAATGCTGAGTAAACACACTTCTTATATCAGTGAGGGTGTGCAAGATACTGCTGTGGGAACCACTAAATTTCTAGATCTTGGGGACACAGGGTAAAAAAAGTGTGTACAATTTCTTTGAGAAGGATTAAATGTTGATCTACTGGTTGGCCGATTCACTGGGTGACTCTCCACCAATGAGTGCTTTAGGATCTAGATGTCTTTCTGCCTTTGATACCTCTGCCTCCAACCATCTTCAGAAGCTGAGGGGCTGGTTCCACAGCAGGGGAATACGGGGATGACACATAAGAGATGAGGTTTTATGGCACATCCTACAAATGGTGGTTCCCACTTTGTTCCACTCTGTCGCACAGTTCTTTCTAAATACAAGATGGGCTGGAAAAGCAGTATTCCCGCCTCCCCACCCCCCACCCCACCTCCCATTTATTTGCTGATTCAACAAAAATATATTGTGCAGGGACAGGCTAGAAGTATATATGAGTTTTAAATGAAATAGAAACGTCCCCAATTTTATGAAATTTGTATTTAAAGAGAGGTAGAATGAACCGTTTCATATTTGTAACTGTTAATATTTTAAACAGTTATATTTTTATTTTAAACTGTTATGTTTTATTTTTGACTGTTAATATTTTAAACCGTTATGCTTTATATTTAGCAGAGGGGAAATGAACAATCTCCAGGTATTTATACTTGTTTTCAAGCAAAATTAGAGGCCATATTCTTGTGGGCACAAGAAAACACGGCAGTGGAGCAGTTTGCAATTCACATCGTATTGTCTTGGCCACTCTCTCTTCCTCCTGGCTCCTACTCTTGCCTCGGAGGCTGATCTCAGTAGGACTCTCAGTCAGCTCTCACTAGGAGTTCTTGAGATACTGCACTTCCCAGACCCCTCACTCCCAGCTGATCAGTCCCAGCTCATCAGGATCAGTTGTCCTTGGCCTTGACCTGGTTCATTTCTCTCCCACAGGCCAGTCTCCATCATGGCAATGGCAGTGCAGAGAAAGGAGATTGGCCCTCTCGGAGCCACCTGGAACTGCTGCTGCTACTATCTGTATCTTAAATGTTGTGTTTTCATATCTGGAACATTCACTTGGCTGTTCTGCTCAAAGGAGGTTTAGAAAATAATTTGGGCAGGGTCATTTTAGAATTTGTCGAGCAGGCATTGTGGGAAAGGATCTTTTTCTTCCTGGTGGAAGCAGGCTTGACAGATCTGGTTATGGTCAGGGTCCAGCGATGGGCTCACCTTGACTAGAGGATACGTTGCTGTTCCACTAGCATTTATTGTCTCCTGTGTTGAACACCTTTTCTGTAAGCCCGTACTTTGTGCAACAGTTGTTCCCTGCCCATTAGAAGCTTATTTTCAATGGTTGATTGTTGGCCTCTCTTCTTGTCTTTTAAAGATCATTCTAGTCTAATATCAGGTGCGTCAAAACATATCATTTCTAGAGTTCCAGTGTATACATGCACAGATTTATTAAAAACAAATGACAGTTAAGCATGATGCTGTGACCAATGGATGGCTGTAGATACGTTCTCTCATTAGTGCCCTTGTCTTAGTCTTGTTAATGTCTTCTAAAAAAGATCCATTTAAAAGAGTGGCTTCCGGGGGATTTGCTAGCCCAGTTCTAGTCAAGGTTCTGAAGGTGATGGAGACTTTCTTGGGGTGGGGGAGTCCCACCCAAAGGGGTCATCTTGATAGATTTTCTCAAAGGATACAGGACAGTCACTGGGGCTTAATTTGAAGATGTTTTTAGCAAATCAAAAACTGTGTTGGCCGGAGAAAGGCCAGGAAAATTACCCTGAGGCATAATGTCTCCATCACATCCATACTCCTGCTCATTCCTCTCGGGGAGCAAGGATCATCCTTGGAGAATTTCCTTGGGAAACCAAACCCTAGTCACTCAGTAGCCACGACCCTCCCCTTCTGACTTCTTTTTGTTCCCCAAACTGAAAGGGCATTGAGAGGATGCTGACACTAGTTCGACATGATGTAAATGAAGGACCACCCCATTATTCATGGAAGGGTTAGAGAGATGGAAAGACAGCCATCAGAAGTGCCCAGACCTAAACTGAGGATATGTGGAGAAACATAGCTTCCCAATTTAAAATTTGTGCTGAACGAAGCCTTCTATGATTTTGTGGCAATACTTTGTAGTTGACCCTTGTAAATGTGAGGGGAGGCTCTTCTTTCTACGCCCCACCTTCCTTCCTGTGCCCCGCGGTTCCCATTCTTGCCTATTGACCCTTGTCAACCCACCAGTGTCATTGCTCTTCTTTCTGTTATTGTAAATTAGGTGGAGGTTTATATTTTAGGGCCTCAGCTTTGTATTCAGAAGTTCAAACTACCAATCAACCCCACCAAGAATTTACCCTTCTCCTGTCCTTGACTTCTTGTCTCTCTCTTATGGACTGCCATTTTCCACATCACCCAAGTTAGTACTTGTCTATACAGTCTAGTCTATTGCTTTTTCTTAGATGCTCCCCCTGACCCCTGTACACTCCAAAGTCTGTTCCCTTTGGTAAGAAAGTCATTTTCTTGTCTGCCACCCCCCACACCCTATAACAATGGTCTCATACCATATTTGTCATTTTCTGATTGGCTAACTTACTCAGCATAATGTTCCTCAGGTCCCTCCGTACTGTGGTGGTTTCATCATTGTTTTGCAGTGATAACTAGTACGCTGTTGTGTGCATGTGCCAAAGTTCAGGAGACATATACAACCCAGGGATTGCCAGATCATATGAAATGTCTATTTCCAGTTGTTGGGGGTGGTGCCCTATCGCGCTCCACTGTGGTTGTATCATTGCTCTTTCTCCTCCAGTCCCCAGAGCCCCAGTGACACATGGCTGTTGTGTGTCGCCAACTTTCTTCACTGTGTTGGGTGCAGGGGAGGGTCAGCACAGCACAGGAGTTGCTTTGCAATTATGGTCAGCGAAGCTGATCTTCGACCACACCCATCCTCTCGTCTCACTGAATCCTCCGTCAGAGCATGTCTTAAAATATGCTATTTTTAATCAGCTTACTTTTAAGTATCAATCTGTCTCCTTAAATGGCTATAGCATGCTCCATGAGACTGTAGGCAGAGACAGGGGCTCACATGGGATGGCTCTTGACATCTGCCTGGGTTTGAATGTGGCTTAATGGTACTGGAGAATCAATGGTCCCTTATAGGGGGATGGTGATGTGATAAGATCTGAGAATCAGGGAGACAAGAGAAGCCTAGCACGCATGCTAGAGGTCTGCAAGACCACCAGGAGCTTGCTGTAGAATCTAGGGGCTTCACCGTTCCATGCCCTATGCACGTGTTTTGTAGTGTTGCTATGACAAAGTGAAGGCAGTCCCAGATCACAAACAAGTCCCATTTTAAGTCTATCTTTAAGTACACTTTTTAAAAAGTATGGTTTATATCCAAAGCAAGCTATTCCAATATTTGTCTTGCTGTATAATATACCTTTCTGGGTGTAAAAGCACGGGGGGAATACTTCTAGATTTAGACAAATAGAATAATACAGAACTGATCATGATAACATTTCGGTGTACATCACAAAGTAGTACTCATTTGTTATTTCCGACTATCGTAGGGACCTTGACTTTTAATGTCATAGACCTTACAGATGTGGGTTGATAACCACGGGTTGTATGTAAGTCAGATGTTCTTAGCCCAGGGACTCCCTGTACCATGCACTGGCTGATGTATAAGAACAGAAGTCTATTCTCTCACAGCTTGGGAGGCTCTGAAAACAGGACACTATGGTGGTTTCTGTGGAGGAGTCTAGGGGACAAGGTGCTCCATGCCATTCTCCTCACTTCAGGCGATGGCTGGCAATCCTGGTGCCTTGGCTTGGAGATGCAGTTTCTGACTGTCATCCAGGGCTTTCTTCCCGGTGCCTCTCTGTGTGTTCCAGCTCTTCTTTTATAAGGTCGCTACTCACATTGGGTTAGGAAGCACCCAAGTCCACTATAACTTCATTCTAACTTAAGTGGTACCATTGTCAAAGACCCCATTTCCTAACCAAGCCACATGGACAGGTACCAAGAGCTAGGACTTTGAGGTCACGTTCCAGGATTCATGAGACCCTGGGAGACCCTCCGTCTGCTCTCTGCCCAGAGGGATGCTGCTGCTCTTCAAGTCCTGCTCAGTTCTCTTCCTCTCCTGCCTGCTCTAGAGTAGGATGAGCTCCTACTTCCCAGGCCAGCCCAGCCCTCCCCAGTTGGGAGTTCTTATCTCTTCCGTTCTTTCCTCGCTCTCTCGGTGCATCTCTAATGTTCCTGGAGACACTATGGCCACATTGAGGGGACGTTCGCCTCTTAGCTGAGCTCAGTTCATTCTTGTCAAAATTGACACGCTATATGGAGTTACAAAATGTGGGATGGCTTGACCTTGAACATACCATTAGAGGAAGAAGCTTGAAGGACCTTCGTGTTGGTTTTGTTGTGTTTCAGTAGATCCCTGGCTCTCTTAACTTCTTCCCAAACCCTATACCCATTTTATAAGCCATCATTTTCAAGATGTTTTTTGAGGGAAGAAGGTGGATACTGAGCACTTACGCTCTGCCAGCTACTTTACATATGTTATCCTTGTGAATCCGCATAGTATTTCTGGAAGAGAGAGGTTCCCATCCATATTACTGGGGAGGAAACGGAGACCCAGAGGGGTTAAGCACCTGGCCCAAGCTCACCCAGATTTGCAGAGCTGAGACCTCTGCCTGGCTTTGCCACACTCGGGAGCTCGTGCTTTTTTTCTAGTGTCTGATGACATTGTTCCCTGCTGCAGGAAGCAATTAGAGAGGCATGCCCTGGCATTCATTTTTCTCTACTTAGAATGAGACATTGCTGTTTACTTTCTCAGGAAGGAAGATAAAAATCAATGTAACTAGCCTTATTAACTTTTTAAAACAGGGGGGCTCGCAGATGCTAGCACCTTTCCTGAGAGCAGCAAAGCAAATATAAAAATCTAATTTGCTTGCCTTTTTTTTTTCTTAAGTCTTCTATGGAGTTTAAAATCCAGAGCTGTAAATGAAAAGCCGATGAGACGGGTAAGGAAGCAAGTCTCCAACAGGAGGACGTATTTACCTAGATCTCTCTTGTCCCCAGGTGGCTGTTCCTTTGATGAGCACTACAGCAACTGTGGTTACAGCGTGGCCCTGGGGACCAATGGGTTCTCCTGGGAGCAGATCAACACATGGGAAAAGCCAATGCTGGACCCTGCCGTGCCCACAGGTATGTGACCCGCTGTATTCGGTGTTGACACGGGGAGAGCTGGCTTTGATGTGGGCTCCTGATGGGGCTCCCTGAGAAAGCACTGGTTGGCTCTTGGAGGAGTCAGTTTCTTATCACCAGAGGTGTTGAGACCAAGGCTGGGGGGCATTCTTAGAGATGCTGTGGGTGTCATGTGTCACTTGGAGTAAGATGCCTGCGGGCTCTCCTTCAGCCTGGAGATGCCAAACGTTGATGTTGATTGAGTTCGTTTTTGACTCCTGGTGACCCCGTGCGGTGAGTAGAACTGCCCCATGGTGTTTTCCAAACTGTGACCTTTGGGACCCAAATCTCCAGGCCTGCAGTCCAAGGATCCTTGGCGTGTGTTGGAACCCCCAACCTCTTAATTCGTAGTCAAGCCCTTACCCAGGGTCTCTGGCTACACGGATGGGCTTTCTGCTCTGGGAACCTGAGAGGAGTGAGTTCCTAAAGGCAGAACTGGCTACTGAAGAACGTCAGATCACCCCATTTCTTCCAGGCTCCATGGACACAGCTGATCTATATGGAGGGAAACTTCTACAGTGTTAATATGAATTAATAAAATCAGTGTCCTGACATCCTGAATGCCAATCACATCTTTCACTAATGCAGCTGAAGGCCTGCGTGGGCACTCTTAATGGCTACCTGTGTGACGTTGACCTATGAGCGACAGCTGAAGTAGTCCATGGGCGGTAAACCTGGGAGAGTTATACTTCAGAGTTGGGTATACCAGATGGGTAGAACCTCTGGGTGTCCCAAGTGGTTTAGATGCTTGGCTGATAGCTGTAAAGCCGGAGCTTTGAGGCTACCCCAGGCACATCCAGGATGCCCGGTGTAGTGATCTGTTCCTGAAAGGGGCCAGCCTTGAAAACCCTATAGAGCTTGGTTGCTCTGAGTTGGGATTGATCCAATGCCAACCACAGCCGTAATGTACTTGGTGGATCATGAAGACGGACAAGACTTGGCAGTGTTTTCTTCTGGGGCATGTAAGACATCCATGACTTTACCCTATCTCGACAGCTGCTGACGACAAAATACCGAGTGGGGTAAGTTGGGGACAGTGCACCTCTGTGAACCCTGAGGTCGCCTCTCTGTCCAAATAGGAGCTTGGACACCACTGACAGACAATTGGTTGTTGGAAAAGGGTGGCCATTCTTGATTAGACTCCCTGGCCAAGCGTCCCCTCTCACCTTCCGCACTGTCTGGTTCTTTCACCAGCTCTTTCTGATAGGTTTTCTCATTCTGACCCTCAGTGTGGGTGCCCCTCAGTCCTGTCTGCACCCTCTTCATGCATAGAGCCCAGTCGTCCCATGACTTCAGCTACCGTCTATATGCTGGGACTCTCTCTTTTCTGTGTCCAGCCCAGACTTTGCTCATGAATCCTAGACCTACCCAGCCCACTGCCCAGCTGCCGGCTCTTCATGGCTGCCTCTGGGGGAAGAGCGTTTCCAGAATGCCTACAAAGCTGGTGACCGAGAAGACACTTGGGGGGTTCATGTCAGGGTGTGGCTTCAGTGACCTTTAATATGGCCTCCTAGTAAGAGCAGAAATTGCTGATATAAGTTCCCCTTGAGTGTTGGTACAGCCCTAGGTACACAAGGCCTGTACTCTTGGTCAAAATTGGGCTTCTCAGATCTGGAAAGACCTTACTGTGCATGAGGAGAGGCACCGAAAACCCAATGTCCCCCGTTTGTAAGGTGATTGTGGGACAGCCTCTGTTCTTGCTGCTTCATCATAAGTTTTCTCACACTCCCTCTCTTCTCAGATGTGTCCTGGCTAAGACAGTGAACTCACCCATCCCACCAGGAAGTCCAAGGGTCTACTGACTTGTACTGAGACATATCCCATCTCATTTTGCTTGGCCTGGCCACCTTTGATAAAGGCAAAATAACCCCCAAACTCATTGTGTGTGTATTCATGCACACATATGCATGTTCTCTACTTATCTTTGGCCCACTTGCTGCCCTGGAGGTTCTTGCAGGCTCCCCAAACTCAATATTTCCACAGTGGAACTCCTGATTCACCCACCTCCACCCTGTCTGTCTAGTCTCTTGTGTTCCTTATCCCTGGAAAGGCCTCTTCACCCACTGTTACTAATTCCTAAGCCCAACCCAGGGATCATATCTCTCTCTCTCTCCTCTCTCTTACCCTCTTTTTCAATTAGTTACTTAGTTCTACAGCTTTACCTTCTGACCTTCCTTCTGCCCCCATCTCTCCATGTCTGCCACCTTTACCACCCAGAGTTCTCTCTTAGGTAAGCAAATTTCCTGACTTCTCTAATCTGTTCCACACTGAAACAGAAAAGATTCTCCTAACGCATAGATCTAGTAAATGCTAGACCTTCTCCTTATATTTTGTGTTCTTATCCCCAACCAGCTTTTGCTTGAAATTCTTTTGAGGCTTCCCATTACTTTGAGCAAGACAAAAGCCCCACCATGGCCTCTAGTGTCCTGCATGACTGATCCTGCCTCAGTTCCAGCCCCACTGTTCCCCTCTCCCCTGTGCTCACTTCTACGGGCCTGTTATTTCCCAGAAGACTCCAGGCTCTGTCAGGAACTCATTAGATCAGTACTTCCCATAGACCCTCTTCTTCTACCACAACTCCTGGCTTACTTAGGACTTCTCCTTCTCATCTCAACGGAAATGTCACTTCCTGGTCTCTGTACTGGTCATCATCGCACCCTGTGCTTCTCAGGAACATGCATCACAGCTGAAGTCATATGTTCTAGTCATATGGTCTGTTGCACCCCAGCTTATCAATTCCATTTGAATAAGGACTGTCAGAATCTTGCCCAAAGCCTTATCTCAGCCTACAGTCTATCACACACATTGTTCTTGCTGCTAGTAGCTGCTTCAGTAAGACTCTGGCTCATGCTAAATAAAGGAAAGTTCATAATGAAATGCTGTCTGGTCTTGTGCCACCCCCATGATCGTTTGAGGATTGGATTGTGGCAGTCCACTGGATATGGTGGAAGTAGCCCACGGGGCTCTTCTTGCTAGTCTGTCTTAGTCTAGAAGTGTCTGTAAATCTGTTCAGCAACACTATATCCTCTACTGTATAGCAACACTATATCCTCTACTTAAAAACAAGTGATGGCTGCATATTAGGTGCCTTGGTTAGACTTGAACCTGGATCTACTGAGTGAAGGCAACGATTTTCTATTGACTCACCAACATTCACTAAATAACATGTTTTGGGGTGAATGGAAGGATGGATGGATGGATGGATGGATGGATGGATGGATGGATGTACAGGTGGATGGATAGACAGATGGGGGTAGATATATGGGAAGATGGCCTGTATTAAATGTTTTTCTTTTCAAAGGAAGAATTGAATGGCAAGTTATATCAAATGTCTGTCACCTCTGTTGATTAATCAATTTTACTTAAAAAATCTTTTCTACCATCATTCCAGTTTGACAGCTCAGAAGAGGAAGTGTCTGGGAAGCGGAAGGACAGGGCTGCTTTACCATCATGCCCTTTCCTCTCCCCAAAGAAGCAACTCTGGATGCTGCTCTTAATTTCTCCCACCCCTTGCTTCAGCAGAGTGCCGCGCTGTAACGATTGGCATGTGCTAACACGACAGAGCCCTTGGCAATGATCACTGGATCTCCGAGGTGACTGTCAGGATGTACTTGAGTGCTCCACCACAAGGTGGGCAGTGTGATCCCAGCAACCACTCCATGGGAGAAACATATGGCCATTGCATCCTTCAAGATGCCGGCCTGGCAACCCCGGTGGGGCGAGTCTACCTTGTCCTACAGGGTCCCTGTGAGCTGGAATCTCCCTGATGGTCATCAGGCAGTTGGCGTGGCTGTTTCTCAGGCAAAGAGGCAGGAAAGTGAATTTAGATTAGGCGAAGCTGTTTGTTCTTTTTCTGGGCAAAGGTTGAAAAACCCTGCTTTCCCTCTCTGAGGCCAGCGGTTTCTATTACATCCTGGAAGTTGGAAATCAGTCTGAGTCCCTGTCTTCTGATGTCCTACAGCCTTTCATTCATCCCTTTCCATGGGCACATCTCTGTGCTTGGCTCTGGATCAATCAGATCCTGTTATTTGAATGAGCGGGACCCTCCAGTGGCTTCCCCAAGCACATAGGATAATGAAATCTGGATTCCATAGCAGAGCCTGCGAGGTCCTGCCTGAGCTCACCTTTTATTTCGACCTGTCTTCTTCCCTTTCAATGTGCTCCTGGCTACTTCTCCCTTCCTGGGACTGGCCCAGTCCTTTCCTGACTCCTTTGCTCAAACCGGTCTTTCTTGCTGGAATGGTTGAGATGGAGAGATTCCCTTGGCATCAGCTCAGAGTCCTGGGGGAGTTCTTCCCAGACTGATTCTCTTTTAAGGAGTCCAGTGCCGGTCTCCCAAAGCCACTGTCATGGACATGGTTTCAGGGACACCTCTTCAGTCCTTGCCCCTAGCTGACTCTCCCAGGTGGCCTCCATGGTTAGTTATCAATGGGATAAACCTGTGAATGTGAAGAATCTGCACACAGCACGGTTTTAGTCAGTGCAAGTCCCCCTGAGCTCTCCTCTGGTTCTTTCAGTCTCTGGCTGGAAGTCTTAGAACCATGGCTCCATCAACGCATCTCATGAGGAAGGCTACAGGTATTTTCCTTTGA